TTTTTTATCATTGTGTCTAGAATTTTTTCTAATTTCTAAAAAATAATAATAATAAAAAAAACAGCAGAACATGGAAAATAAAAAACCAACAAAAACAAAGGAAAAGCTTTTCATCCATTTCCTGGAAAAAAAGTGGCGCGTGAAAAGGCGGCTGCAAAATGTTTTCCATGTAAATTTTTTGGTATCAAATATGTGAAACCATGGAAAATGAGTGTTATCAAACACTGCCTTAATAAACCCTAGAAAAACACAATCAGGGAATAAGTACTCTCTTCGTTCTCAGCTAATCGAAAGACAAAACTATGTAACCAAGGACCCAAAAGGCTTTCTGACCCGATCATCTAATAGAATAAGAGAATTATCGTAATGACAATATCTTTTTGCCTTGCAACTCGTGTTCGTCGACCTTTTCACATAATTTTGACAAAAAGAGGATTTAAAATCATCCTTCTAAAAATAGAGGGACTCCCATGCAATTTTCTTGAAGTAGAAAAAGGGAGAATTTGAGTCGACGTTTTCATACGCCAAATGAATTATTAGTGCATGGCATGACTGTCTCTCCTCCATCTCACATTCACAATTTCCATAAATTCATAAATTCCCATTCTTCTTCCTTAATTTTCTCTCTTCCTGTTTTCCATCCAGATCCGATCTGATCTGTTCATCCCATTTCTCGAAAATCGAAAAACAATTTAACAAATTCATACTCACATATATGATTGTATCAAATTAAACTATATAATAATTCCAATTATATATACAGGATGGCGGTGGTGTCACCTTTAGCCAAGTACAAATTGGTGTTTCTCGGCGATCAATCGGTTGGAAAAACAAGCATCATTACTCGTTTTATGTATGATAAATTTGACACCACTTATCAGGTTTGCGTCAATCTCTCTTGGATTTATGTTTTATGATCTGAATTTGCATGCATAGGAATAAATAATGTGATTTTGATTGTCGATTTCATACTTAATTTTTAAAGATGTTTAACGGGGAAGAAGGTGTCGTGAATTTGAAATCCGTTTTACTGTTGTATAAATAATTTAATTTCGAATCTGTGGTGAAAGTGTAGCTGAATTAATTTTGTTGTAAACGGAGAGAATTTTTGTTTATAAAGTCAGACCCACGTTCTAGTTCTGATGCAATTTGTTCTTCTTTTTAATTTTATTTTTTTAAACTATTAATCTGTGTTTATTCTGCACCTTAAGAATTTGTCTTTGATTATATAGGTTTACAATTGTTCGTCAATTTAATTTTCTTTTGATTTCTGGATTTTCTGATTTGCTTAATTATTTAACCTGAAGAACTTCAATTGCATTTAGTGCACATAGGAGAATTGGAGTAAGGTTAAGCCTCAAAGAACAGCCCTTGAGTTCTGAAATTGTAAGAAAAAAACAAAGGGTTAAATGATTTTGAACAATAAATTCTAATTGATGTGAACGACAGAATTTAGAAGTTTGAACATTAAAATGTTGAAATGTTTTTGATAAATGTCTGATGATATGATGATGATTCCGTCAAACGCTGTCTGAATTTTTTAATTTCATATGCAGGCTACTATTGGCATTGATTTTTTGTCGAAAACAATGTACCTTGAAGATCGAACAGTTCGCTTGCAGCTTTGGTAATACATTCTTCTTTCTACATTTGTCCAAGATAGCATGACTAAATGCATTTCTTAATTTCATGTTCTTTTCTCGCCTTTTTGGCTCTGGATTATAGAAGTATTGTTTGAAGAGTATGTTCACACAAGTTGAAGTGATGAAAATTGATTTCGTTAACTTATCAGACAACAAACTGTCAGATTTAAGCACAAGGTGGTCCAGTAGTTTAGTTGTGGTCGGAAAAAATATGTCCACTGTGCATTTACTCAAGTCACTGCTTTCTTTACCTTGTTTTGGTTCAGGACTTTTATAACTTTATCCAGTTTACTGATATTGGCTCACGAATCACGTTCACATTTTTGTTTTACTTTGTACATTGCATCACTTCATATCCATTTTTTTACATGCCTTGATCAAACTTTCTTGTGGTAACAGGGATACTGCTGGTCAGGAGAGATTTAGGAGTCTTATTCCAAGCTACATTAGGGATTCTTCTGTGGCAGTGATTGTGTATGATGTTGCTAGTAAGTGTACCCCAGGGAGTTTCCTTTCACAAGTTCAAGATGTTATATTTATTTTATTTTATTTTTTTCCTTAAGTTTTCCTTTGATCTTCTCTATTAACTTTTAATATTGCCTCTTATTTTGCTTGTAATATAATGTTATTTTAGTTCTTATAGTGTAGTGAACCTTCTCAGATCGACAGTCATTTCTGAACACTTCAAAGTGGATAGAGGAAGTACATACAGAACGAGGGAGCGATGTCATTGTTGTTCTTGTAGGGAATAAAACTGATCTTGTAGATAAAAGGTGAGGGGAAAAATATGGATTGTGAGTCACTTTTTTTCTGGTTTTCCTCCCATAGCTCCTGGGGTGTGTCTTTTGGGCTTTTGTTTTTATGCTTTTTAGCATCAAATGACCATTAGTATGATCTAGTCGAGAAACTTCAA